GATATCAACAGCAAGTGCCCTACTGCCATCGTCGTCACTGGAGGTTACTCGTAAGTTTCGCACCTTCGTTTCTCACTTACTCGCCTGACTTGAGATGCTGACCGCTTCGAAAACAGCCAAGGTGCTGCCGTAAACCACCGCGCCATCGAGAACGCCCCCGATGCGCAGAAGAACCAGATCGCCGGAGTGGTCACCTTCGGAGACACCCAGTTCCGCGCCGACAACGGCCAGATCCCCAACTTCCCCAAGGACAAGATCAAGATCATCTGCGCCGCCAACCCCCGCGACACTGTCTGCGACGGAAACTTGAGTGCCGCCGTTCTGGCACCTCACCTTTCGTACGGCGCCAACGCCCAGGAGGGAGCCGACTTCCTCATTGCGCAGATCAAGAAGGTTCAGGCTTAAGGTTGTCTTGCACCATCTGCCGTCCTGAGGCCCTCAGGGGGCATTGCCATCTCATTGAGAACGGTGCCCGCGATCAGATTTGCTGAGTGAGCTGATGGGAGTGGTTCCGCACATATCATGAAAAAACTGGCTGGGTCCTCTTTTCGTTTTGCTTGCGACATGAGGCTTCCGGAGGCTTCTGTTCTTTTGTTTCTATCCTGTCTGGCTTTGGCCAAGACACGCGATTGTTAGTCTTGCTTGAGTGCTGCATCTTTTCTTTCCAAAATACATCACCGTTACCCGCCAATTTCACTTTTCAAGACAAGTGACCTGATGTACATGAGTTTTCTGCCCACATGAGGCCAGAGTAAGACATGCACAATAAGAACAGGACCTCATTGCGGCGGTGCAGACAGACAGGACTACGCCACGTGAAGGACACATCCGTGCTTGTCGCTTTGGCCTCGTCCAATGGAGTATCTTTACCCTAAGGGCGCACAGAGGCTCGGGCCGCGCTATCAGTTCAGACGGATAATTTATATGAACATGTCAGTGTGTCGCTGCGTTTCTTTTTTGCCCGCAAGCTGTTTCACACTGAGCCTCCGTTTGCCGAAGTTCCGTTCCGTATGACGAACAATAACATTGGTTTGCTCTGCCACTTGGGAAGGATTCAGAAATTCATTGAGTTCAACGGCTGTCAACCGTCCGATTTGAGTTCCACAATGGGAAAATGTGAGCAGCATCCTGCAGCACCGTTCCAAGCCGTTGAACGTCAACATATCTTGCGGGGAACCAGCTTGCTTCTATGCCCCCACCGCGATGTTTTCGGGGAATTGTCTGTGGGGGCTGAAAAGGGGCCAAAACTGAATGGAAAGTCGCGTGTCTAAGTCAACCAGTTGCAGTGAGCTGTCTGATATAGATGAGAGGCCATGTTCTTACCATTTTGAGTAAATCCCGCGAAGGATTCTATTGCTGTGAGTCCCGCTATTCCACAACCCCGCCTGGGGTGCATGCAGACTGCGTCACATTGGTGCGTATCCACCATTGGCCAGAATCGGCCATCTTATGAGATGCGATTGGAGGGCGACCCTGGAGAAGCCAGATCCCTGTCAAGTTGAGAACATCGCGATCCCCTCGTAGTCCGAGTGCCGAGGCAGACAAACCATCACTCAGGGGGCCTGACCAAATGTCCATTTCTTGACGTTGACCTACACAGACTTGCAATTTATCCTCACAGACTTTTTATGAGCACACCATCACACACGGCAAGAAATCAAGAGTAAGAACTTCGTTTGCGTGAAGTGACGGTGAATTTCGTCTCGTACAATCCCCTCTTCCGGAAGCAGTTGCGATGAAGCCTCGAACTTGATGGACTAAATCAAACCAGACAAGATGTAAATAGTGCAGCAGCCGAGGCCCCGAGGCTCATGATCTTGACGTATCGAACTGGCATCACACTTATGCTGGAAATATTGCAGTTAAATAGCTAAGACGTATTCCTCCCGGAAAATGAGGCCAATCTCGCAAGGTCAAGGAATTATCTGGCAAACCTCCATCGCAATCGAACTATCAACATATCAATCACCATGTTCTTCATCGAGCTTGTGGCTCTTTCAGTTCTGTCTTTGTCCGTTGTAAACGGCCAAAGCACTGACGAATGCCCTGAAGTTCCAGAGACGGGGGTTACTATTGGCGATCCTGTCCCCATCCGACCGGAAGATATCCCAGCTGGCTGTTCTGACTTTGAGATTCTTGTTGGTGTGTTCTTTACAAACCTGATCCGCTGGTTCTTTGAAGTTAACTCGGGGATGCCCAGCTCGAGGAACGAGTGAGCCTAACTATGTTGGAGGCGGCGGTAAGTTCGGCATCATAGTCGGGGACCCGGTCGTTAGCAATGCCACTGTTGCTCTGCCTGATGCTAGAGGGTACCCGGTCCAGGCAAGTGTTTGTACTCTTATGTCCAACAGAGAATTTATTAACCCGACAATGCACGTAGTATCCGGCCAGCTCGCAAATCATCACAGGCGTTCGTCAAGGTTCTAGAGACGTGGTCAACCGTCTCAAGTCTCAGGCTGCTGCCTGTCCCAATCAGAACTTCTCCCTCGTCGGATACTCCCAGGGCACAGCTGTGATGCATGCTGCCGCGGCTGACATCCCGGCCGAGCTCTATGGCCGCATCAAATCGTTAGTGATGTTTGGAGATGGATACTTGAAGCTCGGAGCCAGTCTAAGCAAGTTCCCTGCCGGACTGAACGAGAAAGCGAGGCAGGTTTGTGCAGCTGGCGATCCAGTAAGACTGATACCAACTTCCAGCCGAATTCATATGACCCAGACTGACTCTTACGTCTAGGTTTGCGATGCCAATGGCACCTGCACATTCTTCCACCTCACTTACATTCGCCCCGAGTTCATTGATCCTGCCGTCGACTTCATTGTCCAGAAGTTCATTCAGTAACTCATCAACGAGCAATCCTCGATGGGCTAGGTACTTTCGTTTCTGGGCAATCTGTGGGCCTTCGGAACAAAGGCGCAAGAGTTGTGAATGTATCCCCTTTCCATGGCCAGTTTTATCTAGTTTAACATCAAACATGAGGTGCTTGCGTCTATGCAAGCCATCCCGATTCAAGTTTTGAAACTTCCACCGGATAGCTCTTCCTCCAAATCGTAATATACCTGGAACTCGCAGTAACAAACCTCAGGATCACTCTCAACGTCAAAGTTGAAGTTCGCCTCGTCATCACTGATCAACACCTTTCGAAGGCCAATGTCTCCATGCGATGCAGCCTCTACCAACAGCTGAACCTGACATGTTCGTTCCATTGATGTGAACAAGAAAGCAGCCTCGTCGACAGTTTTCCCAACGGTCAGGATTCCATGGTTTCTGAGAATGCACCCCTTGCCATTTGGACCAAGTGCGCTAGCAATGCGGTCGCCTTCTTCACTACCCAAGACGACACCTCCGTAGCTGTCATACACGGCATGCGCATCTCCTCGAAATTTGCAAGCATCTTGCGTCAACATGTCCAGTCGTCTGCCGAAGACCGACCATGCCTTTCCATGCACACTATGGCAGTGGCAAACAGCATGGGCATCCGGTCTCGCCTTATGAACCGCAGCATGAATAAGGAACCCGGCAGTATTCGGAGGAGCAGATTTATTGCCGCCAATGACAGACCCATCCAGGTTGACAAGAATCATATCGCTAACTTTCAAGAGGCCGAAATGCCGGCCTAGGGGGTTGGTCCAGAACGCATTGAGAAACTCCGGATCACGAACCGAAATATGACCGCTCATACCCTCGACATAGCCTTCGCGATGCCAGTGACGGAAGGCAGCAGCCATATGATTGAGTTGCCATTGACGGTGTGATTGGAAGTCCAAATGCTTCGGAATGCCGCCAAGAACAACGCCACCATAGGACATAGCTTGAAGTGGTGTTTTGTTCTGCAACTCGTGGCCGTGTTTGTTTCGGGAAGTCTCCAAGTCGCCGCCGCCACTGACGATATCAGAAGCGTTAACTGAGATAACTGAAGGTCCCATGATGAAGAGAGATATAACTTGTTCTTTAGACGTGTTTGATGCACTGTCAATTTCGATGACCATGGTGAGAGAATCAACCTTCTTTTATAGCACTGTTGCAGTTTTTGGGTTTTGCCCGACACAGCGCGCGGATCCGTCACTGCTCAAATTATCATTTTGCTTGAATGCCTAAGAGTATTAACTCAAGTTAGCATGCGCATCTTGTAGAGCAGGGATCTTGTATTGCGGGTAGAGAAAAGTCGGCTTAACTCTGGTTGAATGGCGAACCGATCGTGCTTGTCCGGGGTGGCCTTCTCCATCTAACAAATTGACTCCTGAGTCCTACTACATATGCACCTTAACGAGAAGGAGCAGAATGTGTCATCTCTGCACCTTCAATATCCCCAGGAGAGCTTGTATGTAGCAAAGATCCTTCACTTTGAGATTGATCCATGTGAAAAGAGACAAGGATCACGCGGTAGTGTGACATGCTGCATCTGGACTGATCGCAGATGGAAACCGCCATACTATTTCCCATCTCGGGATTTTCTATCTCGGGAGTACTTCCGTTACAAAACTCGAAGCAGTAGCTTCGAATAATGAACTACTCCCTTATCATCGAGATCCAAATTAGGTAGGTAACCCCCAGGTTTTGTTGCTTGTTAGTGCGGGGTTGCGAATAGTCGATTTGATGCATTAGGCGATGGACCCATTTAATCCCGTGGAAACATGCCTATATTGTCACGGCCCATCGGGACCTCCAGAAATCATTTGGATGAACAATCCTGCGTGATTAAAAGTGCCTCTCTCTACGATATTAACGATCTGAATTGACTCTTTTGTAAAAGTTTCCGCCGAAAACGACGAATAGACAAATGCCCGACTGCTCTCTTAGTCCATACCTACCTTTCCTGTCTCCATAATGCCGATGTCAATTAGGCGTCGAGTTGAGCATACACGAACCTTTACGGGGTGTCGAACTTGCCGGAGCCGTCATGCAAAGTGCGATGAAGGGAGACCAGAGTGTGCAGCTTGCCGCCGAAATGGGATCACCTGCGCTGGCTACACCGCTCGTCTAACTTGGATCGAAGATTGCGATGCCTCTGGAGAAGCAACTCGGCGCGGCCCTGAAGTGCCTGAGTACCGGTACACCTTATTTTCAGGTCGGATTCATTTCCGTGTGGTGGTCTTTTCTGCACATGCTGACGCGGAAGGCTGTGTCCTTAGACTCTGAACGTGAGATCATGAGCAGCCAGCTCACAGATAGCCTTGGCTCAAAGGCAGCCGGGAAAGTGCTAGCCGAAATTGATAGGGCGTCCAAAACATCTGAGCCTAAGAAGCCTTTTAGCATCTCAAAAGGACCTTTTGGGGTGTTCAAATGTCTTAAACGAAGAGAAGTCTCTCTAAGTCAGCTATCACTGTCGCCTATTACCTCAGAGCATGATAATAGCCTACTTGTCGATCCTGAAGATGAAAGTTTTCAAACGGGAACTGACCCACGAGAAGATTTCGGCATTGACTGGTCTGAGAACGAACTCGAAGGATCTATGCAGTCATCACTAGACTGCTTAGATCTCTTGGTTGCCCAGAGTGATTCCATCACCGCCTCGGACCCTTTTTCAGCCTTAATGCCTGGCCTCCAATCAGATTTCTCTGTCAACGTCTTGCCAATGAGTTGGCCGGGGGATGGAGAAGGCAATACTTGTGGGGAAGACAGAGATATCATTGCACCTGTCACCAATGCTATTGAGACAGACAACCATTTGGCCACCTCCCATGCTAATGTCGCCACTATCATGACTATACCGCCTACATCATTATGCCTCGGAGCTTCTATTTCACGAACAGAGGTACCTGAACAGGCACAAACGCTGCTTCGCTACTACAAGAGCCACGTGGGCTCTACCAAAATTTCTGGACAAGGAAAATTCAAATCAACTTGGCAACTGTTATTCCTTCCTTGTGCCTTCGAGACGTTTGCGGAGTTGTCAGTGTTGAATGAGGCATCTCAAAGTCGGCTGGCGATTCTGTGCGCATTACTTGCTCATAGCGCCTTTCAACTCAACAAAACGGATTTAACACCGCGTTTCCCGAATTACTGGCAACATCTGGGTGACAAACATCAAGAACGAGCTCGAATGCATTTGAAGAATGCTGTGAAGGTAGAGGTCCACGATTCTGGATTAGGTGGATACAAAGACTTATTAATGGCCTTAATCGCTATGGCCATGGGATCTGTGAGTATTTTTTGTTGAAATTCCAGTCTTTCAAAGCTGACGGACTTCAGTTGTGTCATGGAAGCCGTGACTCACGCGTCTTCTTGCTCGATGCTGAACGTTTGATACGAGTGAAAGGGCTTTCTAGCCACAACTCTGAGATAGTCAGAGTCCTTCATCACACCTATACCTATATGAGGGTAATTGCAGAGGCTACTTACCCCTTCTTGGATTCTGAAAGCGAGTCTGATCGCACAAGCTTGCTTGGAGTTGAAGCAATTGCACACGGTAGTTTCCATATTCGAGAGGAGTCCCTTAACACAGGTCTAGATCCCAACGAGGAAAAGAATGAGACAGTCGGGTATGCAGACATACACCTTGAGTCACAAGGTCTTTGGCGCGAGACATTACATTCGAACATACACGGCATCCCTGAGTCTCTCATGACACTGCTGGCTCAGACGATTCAACTCAGCAATGAGAAAGATCACCTCGAAACTCGCGCACGCAGCAATCCGAAGCTTGCTATTGACCTCAAAACGCACGTCAAGACTCTGGAGGGAAGAATATGGACCTGGTCAATTGAATCCGAAATAGCAATACTATCTGCGGCCGGCAAATCGCAGCCCATCGATAACGGGACGAACTTAATCACTCAACCTTCTACACAGTCAATGGTACAAGCGATGCATCGAGCGTTGATCATCTACTTCTATCGCCAGATACGCGATGTTAGCGCCATGCTCCTCCAAACCGTCATCGATCAAGCTTTGGGGTACTTGAGTCTTGTCTTGATTCAATGGTCAGAGGCGACGACTTTGCACTTGGTATTGCGTGGACAGTCTATGTTTGCGCCAGGGAATCCATATCTCCAGAACTTCAGGAGAGAGCACTGAAGTGCATCAGCATTACTGATGCCCGAGGGCTGCATCTCACTTCAAAGCCTTCTGCTGAGGCAGTTTCGTTGCTATGGGAAAAGAGGCGGCCACTGAAGTCGTTGATTGATCATAGTTTCCTCCTGAGAGAAACCTTATGCCTTGGTTGATCGGCTTAAAATGGCAGTTTGGTGAGTGATTCCAGCTTCGGGCAGTATGCTCAAAGAAGCAATGAAATAATTGAATAGCTAATTGAGACCCATCATTGCCTATATCATGCTTCTTACTATCGTATTGAAAGAAATTTAAAGGCAGAGAAGGGGACTGATCACAGCTTGACTCTCGCGGTTTCGAGCAAAGCAGCCAATCCTGCCCGAGGACCCTCCTTGAGAGGAGCGAATGGCTTCCTGACCCCTCCGGTCTTCCATCCTCGAAGCTCCATGCCTGATTTGATTGCAGAAGCATAGTAGTGGTAGATTTCAAGCCACTTACAGATTGGGAAAATCTTTTCCCAGACCTCCCGGCTCTTCTTCAAATCGTCCTCTACGGCCAGGGTTCATTCCAAAGCTCGACAGAAAGCTCGGGAATAATATTGACGGCACCCCAGATGGAACCCTTTGTGCCCGCAGCCAGACCATAGAAGGTCAGAGTGTTCAAGTCGTTGAAGGTCGTAATCTTTTGACCGTAGGTCAAGAGCAAGTCAGTCAAGACTGGAGCATTGCCCGAGGTGTCTTTCAGGTATTTGACACCGACGTCCGAAAGTGATGCAATATTCTGGGCTGACAAAGTCAACCCGCTGATGCTCGGGATATTGTAGTAGAGAATAGGTAATCCACTTGCGTTATGGATGGCTTGGAGGAACTTGCGTGTCTCCTCGAGGTTGTGAGCTTCGTAATAGGGCGGGATAACTATGACAGCAGCCGCGCCAGCCTGCGCGGCGTGAACAGCCAACTCGCCAGCGCCCTTGCTCGTTAAGTCACCGGTGCCAGCAACGACAGGAATACGGCCAGCGGCTGACTTAATGCAAGTTTCGGTAAGAATTCTACGCTCCTCCACCGTGAGCGCAGCGAACTCTCCAGTACTTCCGCCGGGGACCAGGCCATGGACCCGACGTCAATAAGGCGGTTAACGTGCTGGTCAAGGGCAGCAACGTCATGCCTCCGCCATCTGCGAAAGGAGTAATAATGTCTGCGAGAATACCCATAAGTTCTGGAGAGTTGGCCAATGTGACTGTGATGTCGGATGATCTTGCAAGTTTGGCATGAAGTAGATACGGCTTTACAGGAAGTAGTAGAATGAAAAGATTGCTTGATACTGACTGGGTGTGTTAGTCTCTTCAAGTTTGTTTCGGACTGAGTCAATGGAAGACTAGATACGTATTTATTTCTTCCGATGAAAGTCATCAAGCAATGTTTCAGACCCAAGTTTGCCTGCTCCTCTCGTCGCTTACGCGCATTCACTCCGCTTCCGGTACCACATATTGTTGATTATGTGCATTCGCCACAACTCGAGTCACTCAAACGAGATTAATGCCAAAGAGCAGCTCGAAAGAGAATGGATAGAAGATCCACGCGTATTGCCTCTCCAGATCTGTCTTCTCATTCACCCGATGAGGTACATTTTGTAACGGTCGTTGACTAGGAAGCTCCCTTTTGCAGAAGCAGAGGGGGGTGGGGATTCTCCTGGAAACGGCCTCGTATCAAAATCTCATCCAAAAAGGGCAAGTTTCCACGCCGGTACTCCGTAGAAGCTGTGCATATTAGCTTGGATCACAAATCGGCAAGCCTCATGTTTGTTTCCATCTCTAGCAGCTCTTGTTCATGATATGTGATTGAGAATCTCAGTGCAGGCATCAAAAGGGTGCTCCTCACATAAACCGCAATTACCTGACTATCTCGCATAACTAAATGCACACATCAACTCAGTGTCTTAGCTGGTTTTTGCCTTTCGAAATGTTACGACTGCGGCAAAGTCGAGGAAAATTCAACCGCCACAAAACATAATATTCCAGAGTTTCATATTTCCAGCACAATAGAGAGTACTGCTAATGTACGGCACCCACGCTAAGGAGACGGCAATTGCCTTCCCACCCCCAATTTTCGACTTATTCGCATTGAGAAGACGCGCAGAGCTGCGCGAAATGTGAAACGTGTCGAAAGATCACTATCTTGGCGTGGATTGGCTCTTCACTCTGAAGCAATTCTTTATTACAAATTTCACATGGGCGACATGCGTTAGAAGTATCACGATTTAGGATTCTCTCGCACAGCGCGTCAGTATTCTTAGTGATGTCCTCCTGGCTCTTTAATGAAATAAAATGTTTCTTTCGAGAGGACTTGCTACCGTCACCGAGTGGACCATTTAGCAGTTGCCTGCAACACACCGACCGTATCTGCCCTTGCCGTTATGTAGTGGATCGCAGTAGGCGAGACTGAATGTGGCTGTCCACATTGACATCGAATACTGCAAGTGAATTACTAAGATGTTGAAAGAGCTTAGTGTGAGTTCAGCGAGGCGGATAATACAGAATTGGGGTCAATAGACCCGACTTAGTGAGACAAGCAGAATAAGACTTCAACAGAATGCGCAAAAATGACTTATCACGTTGAACCTCGACCCAATGAATAATATCGTTAGCTACATGTGAGAAGCAAGCGCTGAGCTTCATAGACTCTCATAGGCTCTGAGATGGTGATAGGGATGCTTTCTGCCGAGACCTTTGATGAAGAGCATGGCACTTCTGTAGAAGTCTGAATGCATTTTAATTGATCAGAAACCCATCCGAGAAGCCGAAATTTGGCATGGCGTTTACCATGCCGTGGATGATATGGTTTCATAACACGTGAACCTTGGCCTATGGAATGGATCGGAGACATGATCTAGGCGTTTGGAATTCACGAGTACATCAGTTCGATGGGGCTTGGGGGCCCTGAGCTGGAAGTGAGTCAAAGCAGGATGCACGCTGCAGAAGACTACCTTTAACAAAAATATACATGCCATTTACACAAGCTTTCGTAGAAAAGCCAATGAAATATGTAAGGCATCCATGGCTGAGTTGGGAATACCATTGGACTTGGGGTGTCAGGTCAAGCAGGGGTACTAGCCGTGTGTTCAGCTCCTCCTCGATCAAGTGACCCATCATGTTTTTGTCGGTTCCACTCGGACTCGCCGTTCTTCTATGAGAAACTTTTCAGACATTTTCAAGCAGAAGGAGACAACTCATTCACCGCCAAAAAGAGTAAACACCGTCCCAGCCGCAGGTACAACATCCTCAGATGAGCCTAGTGTATGAAGTGTACGTTCCTTTTTTTTCCCCACAAAATATGCCTTCCAGACCTTGATCCAGGCTCTCGGAGGGGATCGGGTTCCTAGCCTCCAGGAATCGAAAGTCGGCTACGTTCACCGCAGCATCGGAGAATTCTTTTTTCTGAGGAATGCCAGGGGTCCCAACATGGTTAATGGGGTTAAGGCAGGGGTATTTTCAGCTAGTGGGGAAGACGTTTCCTATCTTGAGATCGTTCGGGGCTGGTCACACTAGTTTGCAAACTAGTGAATATCCCATGTTAACCATCAGCAAACCAACGTGAAAAGTACGTCGGAGTAAGCTAGCTAATTTGACCATGTGAGCGGGTGGCAGCGCACCGTTCAGGCCTAGGTGTTGGCTCCCGTACGGCTGCACCCGCAGTAGCGGCCAGACGATAGCTTGAAATGACCGTTCTGGACTGTTGTATCCTAGTTGACAACGTCGCAATGCAGCAAGCACCCCGAAAATAGGGCCAGAAAAACGCATGGCCTGACAAGGTACGATTTGAGCTTACTTGAAATTGGTATTGTTAAGCCGAAGGATTTTGTCTCACTTCGGAGTCGTATGGAGATGGACGTCCCGAAGTAGAAACAAGCATCTCTTGAAAGGGAATGCAGGGAGATGGGAATGCTTGCTGCACTATGCCATTCAGCTTTCGGATCCAAGCCCACGGTACCGTCAAGACATAGTAGATCACTGTTTAACTCTATCGTTTTATATTACTAGAGGATTACCGCAGTATATATAAACGCTACCCTGCCCTCGAATTCCGCACTATTTAACCTTAACCCTTTTTATAAATTACTTATCCTTTCCTCTATTCTACCCTCTCCCTTATTAAAAAATTATTAAAATCGTAGTTTTAATAACTTATTAATAAGCTAATATTACTATTTAAAAATAAGTAACTTATACTTATATATAAGTATTAAAAGTCTTATTATTATAAAAATAATAATAAATATACTAAAGTACTTAAAAAAGCTTTTTAATAAATTTTTAATACTATTTAAATTATAGTCCTCGAGTTATAAAAAAAAGCTAAAGCGCTATATTAATACGGCCCTATCCGTTTTATTAGTACTAATAATAGTCTTTTTAATATAAAATATATTATTAATATTTTACGGCCGCGTTACTACGTTTTATAAATCGTACTTAATATTAATAAGGATTTTAATATTATTTTTTAGTTCGTTTTTTAGTTTTTTTATTAAGGCTATTATTATAGGGTTAGTTTAGTTATTAATATTTTAATAAGTATTTTAACTTAATATACTTAGAGGCTCTTATAGCCCTTAAAAAGAGGCTTTTAAAGGACTTATAATTAAACTTTTTATTTATTACGAGCGAAGTTATTATAATTAAAACTATAGCGTTACGAACTTTAATAATAAGTAGTTAATAATATAGTTATTTTTCTCTTATAGCGAGCTTAAAAAAGTATTTTAATTTAAGTACTAAGTAGGTACTATATTATTTTATTAAAACTATATTTTTATACTTATGACTTAGAAAGAATTAATTTTCTTTGATAATAAGGTACTTAGAAGATATGGTGGATCATAGAGCATTCTGGGCATGAGTCTCGTGGAGAAGAAACTCCGCTTCGGTCTCGTCCGAAGCTTAGAGTAAAATCTAGCGAAGCATTGGGGCTTGCTGAACTATACGAATTTCAGCCGCGATGCTTCTAGCCCAGTCTGAGCAAAATTGCGGTCTAGACAGACTCAAGAGCTTGAAGCATGAAGGCATACACAGAGCTATCATGTATATAAACCACTGGTCAAACTCGAACAGAATATGTTTCTTACTCACTCATCACCTCGACTGAAGCAACTTTCACCTTCGCCTATCACTTTACACAGCTTGCAGTCATACAATATTTTTAAAAGAAAATCAAAATCCTCTTAGCTCAGGTTCTTAACTTCCGCTACGATGAAATCCTCCATCATCACTGCCCTCGTCGGCGGCATCATCGCACAACGTGCTGCCGCCACCCCTGCGGACGAACTCTTCGCACGTCAAGCCGGCTGCAACCGTGACAACTGCTTCCGCGCGCTTCTCGGTTCCAAGCCCGGCCCAGCTTCGGCATCGGCAGACTGTTCATCATGGATGCAGGTCACTGAGACTCCTTGCACTTCAACCGCAACCCAGACGGCCACCGTCGTATCGTACACCACCACCTTGGCCAATGCCTATCCCGGGCTCAAGAAGATGAAGCGCGACGAGATCGAGGCTCGCCAGGCCTTGACCACCACCGCTGCTGCCCCGGTCTGCACACCCGCGCAGAACCGCCCAAGCAGCATGCCGGCCTACGCTGAAACGGGTTGCAAGAGCACCATCGGAACACTCGTTCCCACGGCGCGCTACTCGTCTGCCTGCTCCTGTGACGGCATCACCGCCACAACCACCACGCTGGCTACCCCGGTCACCACTATTACTGTCACGACCACCGTCGAGGCTGCCTTCACGCCCACGGCCACACCCACAGCATTCGTCCTGCAGGGTTCCGGTGACCGGAGCCTGTACGTGACGGTCGATGGCCAAGGCGCGCTCCGCCTCGTCCGCGACGCGTCCGTTGCCACACCATTCTACGTCGACAAGGCCGGACAGATGCGCAACTTGAACAGCCCGGACAAGGTCCTCGTGGACTACTACCAGCCCGACCCTGCCACGGCCAACGACAAGGTTTACAGCGGCTTGCAGGGCACCGGAAACTACCCCATCACTTGCTCGTACACCGGTCGCTCTGACGGTGCGTACTACGGCAACTGCCAATCGAGCGGCTCTCCTACTGGAAACCCTGTTGTCTATGGCTTCGGATACTGCCCGAACCAGGGCGGATACGTCTACATGATCCCCAACAACTCGAACGTTCGCTGTGCTGGAGGTTATGCTTT